ATACATGAAACACAGTTTCTGGCATCATGAGGCTTGGGCAGTTCACCAGGGAACACGCTGGAGGTCAGTTGGGTCTCCCGTTCCCCATCGTACCTGGGAAGGTTGGTACTTCAGACGGAGCGAGGTGGCAGCGAATCTTTTGCGCGACATGCCGGACCCGTGTGAACTGATGGAGAGACAGTACATTATCCCCAGTGAGAATCCGTCACAGTTTGCATGGATCCAACGCAATGAGTGTTTCGCTTCTCATCAGCTCATGATAGCCGCTTCGTTTGCAATCTATGTGGAACTCTACTTGACTGCGTTGATCGCGTGAAGGAACATGTCAATTCCAAAAGGCATAGCAAGAAGTAAGCCAGGCGACTTGTATCAACCCTTTCCGGAAGGCGAAGAAATCAATGCTCATCACAGACTTTGGTGGAGGCAATATGAGTGCAAGCAGCGATGATATGCCCCCGCAGCCGTTCATGTTAACGCAACCAATATGGCTCTGGCATGAGCAATCTGTGAAGGCTCGTGCCAAAGCCCATGCGTCGCCAGAACTTTTTGGATGCGCTTCGTCCATCCCTAGCATATGCTACTATCGCGCATTCCCTTACCAAATCTACATTACTCATTGATGTATACATAATTCTCGTTGCGTCGAGTTGACCATAGCAGAATGATGTTACAGGGGTGCTCGGGAGTAATCTGTCTAAAAACTCATCACGCGATGCAAATGAGTGAATATGCATCGGGAGTGTTAACACGAATTCTTTCTATTGGTACATCCTCATGTGTACTCCGCGATGTCGTTTGTGTTGTTTTTCGAACGAATTTTCAACTGGAGGGTGGACCTTCTTAGCGGCACAGCACAACTCGTACCATCATAATATAGCACAACGCGTCTATACCACAGTAATGCGATCTCATAGTCGGAACATGATAAATCACGCTACTTTTGCGACGCTACATGTGCGCGCATCGAGGAAAGTTGAAGCTCATATCGCTTTTCACTCCGCAATGAATCTTAGGAGCGTGAAAGAGGCTCAATCATTCGGGTGTGTATTAAAGACACAACGGAAGTTTGTATCATCATACGCGCTGAGGATGGTGCGCGCTCTGAAGCGGCCAGCACGTGTAACACAGGAGAGGAGGATACGTATTTCATCGAAACTTCCAACCGTTTAGGTGGCTTGGAAATTTTACTATCACTACTTGTAGTACGCAACTGCAACCTCCCTAACTAGAAACTAGAACATTCATTCACTCTTATCAGCTTGTCGTCTACTCGAACGTTGAGATTCGGAAGTTTCTTTACCAGTCTTGAACGCGTCCATCAACTGCCCTTTTTCGGCAAGCAATCGAAGAGCTGAGAAGAATCAGAATCCTATATCTGTACCAGCAGGAAGTATCCTTCACCTGTGAGCAAGAAAGGTGTGTAATCATGGCGTCGCCTTTCATTCTCAGCCTGAAACACAGAATCCTCCTATTTGATTCCTCTGCTCCTTGGCTCACCTTCCACTTGGCTCGAATATTTTGCTCATTTTCAAGTTGAGCCTTCAACTCGACCACATCAGCAGAGGACTCATCCATCGCGGTCGAAAGTCTACGGCACATATCATACTTCGATACGATCAATATCGCCGCTTACTGATCTATTTGTTTGCGGAGGGCTTTGATTTTATCCCCACACACAACCATGAGGTTGAAACGAATTTCGTCAGCCTGCTGTGCCCCCTCTGAAGCTTTGGAGAACTTAGCGATCTTTTCTTGAACGTATTTCAGTGCTTCCTTCGCCCAATCACTATCGGTGGCCTCCAAGAATACAGGCCCACCTCTGAGACCGTCCAACTCATACAAGCCACCCTAAGAAAGGAATCGCTGAGCTCGGCTTAGACGGTTCTGAGTGCCCACCTGGAATGGAACATACGCAACGAAGTGGAATGCATCTTCTTTCGGCCCTTCTTCCCTCTGTTCCTGGGAGTAGACTTCAACCAGTGATCGAGACGTACTACCGGCTAGCTACTACCACGTCGAAGCTAGCCTGTGGTCGGAAGGAGTTGTGCGCTCTTCGGATTTCCTCTGAGTTACCAATAGCCCACCCTCGAGTGTCCGCATCGAAGCCAGCACTGCAAGAAAAGACAAATATATCCCCAAGCTACGTCTCTTAACAGTAGAGATTCCTCCTAACCTCCGAAGTTCCGATTCTAAACGATGACGATGTTGGTGTCACATCCCTCTTACGTGAAGTCCCTTAGATTGGTGAGGACCTCGCCGATATCCAATCCTTCAGCATTGAGTAACACCTAATAGATTCTGTCCCCCCATGAGTGTTCACACGCTCTGGCTACCGAGAGAATCGCTTGTGTTGCGCATGCATTGTTAATGACTTGCGACGCGTAGAACATTCCGTCTGGTGGGGGCACCAAGGGAGTTCCTGAGATGATCCTAGAGGGATGAGGGTGAACCTAAGTTAGCTCACGTTTATCTTCTACTTCCTTGTCCCACTTGAACAGAAATACTAACCCATATACCGGTACATTGGCACATCTGAGTGAATGTTGATTATACAAATTATCAGGAATCCTCTCGAGTTGCATACAAGGATAACCAGTCATCTAGAAATAGCTGCTCATGATATGACTCGAATCAGATGCAGTTCAGCAACCCAAATCAGTGCAGCTTAGACTCAGTGAGCGTTAATGAATGTCCCGACATTACTCCAACTTGAGTGTATCCTCATCCAGAGAGTAGAGTTCCTTGAATTGAACGTCCTTCACACCAAGGTCATCACAGAGCTCAGTGAATACTCCTGGGTCCGACTCGATCGTGCACCACCCGTTATTGGCTAAAACCAGTGGTCAATCGATACCGACACTCATACCACAATACCGTCTCCTGCTGCTCCAGCGTCCATTCGGGTTATGGAAGAAAACACTAGAACAGCGATGAAGAATGTCATAACAGCGATCAAACTCAAGAGGAGCTCTCGTCAGAAACACTTTGAACATTCCCACATGAGTCGCTTTTACATTTTTGGCAGTTTGCGCACTCGCACATATTTCGGCGCTATCTGGTTTCCTGCCATTTCATGGACAGTCCTCTCGAACCAAGTATACCTATCCAGGCGTGAGCCGCCTACACCATCCTTAAGCCTACGGTTTCGCAGCCCTAGTCTCCCTCCTATACTCCTCGACAAGAGCATCCATCCCCCGCAATGCTTCCGCTGTCTTGGCCTTCCTATATTCTCGGCGGAACCTACGGGAGGTCAATGACATTGATATGATCGGTACATCCCTCTAGGATAACACGGCCGGTCCCGACCCCCACGATTATCAACTAGTAATCGTGAACCCTCACCGTCGTTCAAGTCACATCAAGTTCAGAAGAAGCACAGTTACAAGGCCCCTAGGGATTTTCGACCTCCCCTTATTATTACCATCGTTTATTGCCCAGAGGCTCGCGGTCCATGAAGTGCTTCTTGCCAGCATCCATCGCATCTTGGTCCCATACCCACGGCAAACTATGTATGTAATATTGCTTGCGGACCTGCCCGAGTAAGACAGAGGTCTTCATCGCACTCTTCTATAGATTCATTACATCAGCAGCGTATCGACCCGATATCCTGGGAGGATGCCACTCGCCCAACTCATCCTTATAAGGAAACAAGTCCTCTGGAATGTTATACCTGGGCAACAAGACCTTACTGTGCCATTCGGAGACTATGAAAGTGATACTAACTTGATACGAGCTAGAGAAGGTTTGGAACGAGAGCAAATACAATACAATATCCATGCTCACAGTTGGTAGGATAGGTTTATTCTGCCAATAAAATTAGGAACTTGAGGTTCCTCTCAATAATTCATGTCCTACATTTTCCTGCCTCCTCTCAACGACGTTTTCCTAGGATCCCAGGAGTTGTTATCACGGGAATCCCAATAGTTATACATCTGTCACAAGAATCTGCACCTACGCTGAAAAGTCATATACTACATTTGTTTGGTAGTTGTCCATCTTAACATACGGATTGAAAACTTGCCGTACACGTATGCCGTCAACCAGCCCCTCCTGGTACTCTTGCCGAGGAGTACCTTCCGAGACCACAAGTCGGATCGAGACTTCCTTATCGACCATTCCAACCCAAGAAAGTGGAAGTTTCCAACGGAGTTTAACAACAACTCGAAACAGATACGTCTTTCACATGTCATTACCCTTGCATTCATCCATGTATTTAGGTTCCACAATGCGCCTATCGAGGATCTCCGACCGAGGTTGCCACGGGACTTCTCTTATCGCTCTATCCAAAGGGGAGTTCATACAATTTGGAGGGATAGGGCGGAGGCAGTCGAAATTGAGAGGATGGCCAGGGTAACTAACGAGTAAAGACAGCTCCAGCGACACTCAGTGTGAGAGAATATGACAATCAAAACATGAGACTACCTCTGTCTGCCGTCATATCCGATGTAAGGTGACTCTGGGAAATTGAGCCTACCAAAAACGGAAGCTTAAATCGGGCCTCACTCCTTTGAGAATTGCGGACCTCCTCACTACAACATTGTTGGTTAGTGTCTTTTTCTCGACCTTGGAGCCCTAATGAACAGATTAGTTCGGTAGACTGCTATTATGGACTTACTTTATCTCTCATCCTCTCACCCACCCCGGCATCGGACAGAGTCCTAACCTGCACTCGGAGATCCTCTATGCGACTATCTCTCTTAATTCTCTCAGCAGGCGTCAATGGACTGAAAACGAGCGTGTTATGATACTCTAGAGCTACTGTTTCGAGTAGCAAGAGACCACGATCACATTGGAGAGTGCTTTGCCAAAAGTACTTTGCATTGGACAGTCGAAGTACTCCCTTATGTGTCTTAGGACGCTCAGGCTGTGGACCCTCGAGCATCCCTCTCCTCCTGCTGCTGAAACCTCTCCGTTGAGTCCGTACTACTAACTTTGAAAAGGTCGGAGACATCATGGAACACTAGGAATCTCGCGAACATCAGGCTAGGCAGCAATTCTCGACAGTCAGCACTCGCGACCAGCGATCGACACTGACCGCGTAACATAGATGAAACTATCATGTGCTGCTTGGATTCATTTATCAACATCATAATCATTTGCAACTTGTGCCCACTTCAATGGCAGGGAGTCCCGAGTTAGCTCAATACCTGCTATACTCCGACGTGCACAGAAGAAATATACGTGGCGAGCGATAGAAAATCGTGTGGTGATCTGGAACATGGACTAGTACTATCAATGACAGTTGGGCATTCAGCGCGTACGTATGAAGCTGCTGTAATGCAAAACGTTGTTCATGGGTATGCGACGATATCTACAAACCAAACTGCATTTCTGTGAGTTCTCGCACATTACTAGTGCCTTATAACTAGTGTTTAACCTTACTCTTTATATGCCGAGGTGCTAATAACATTTTTCTTTACTCGACAACAAAATACTCAAGTGCAAGATTTGCACGACACTGAGGGACGGAATCACGCACGATGTGAAATCGGATTATAAGAAGAAAGGGCTTCAGAGAAATTCAGAGCGAGTGGTGATTTAACCGAATGTACTGCATACGTGGAGGTGACACTGCTGGAGTGGGATAATATCGTTTAGAGTGGTAGAAGAAATATGAGAGTGTGATTTTTTCACGCACGATTATATTGAGCTCAGATAGAAGTATTAGTAAGGTCGCGACGACTCATACAAATGCATACATCCCTGCACTATTGAGTATCATGGGGCCATTGAAAGGTGAATGCTACCAATGTTGGACCTCCTTAAGAAATCTTGTCAGTAGACTACTAACAAGAACTACCTCATCCATCTACTGATAGTAGTAAGTGTCACACGAACTACTGTCCGTAGATAGATGATGGCTTTATCTAGTGGATTGGAGTGGGTCACTAACGTGCACGACGCAAAAGCACATGTGTACCTGCGCGTCTCTCGGCTTCCTGTGGAGTAGTTGTGTGCGCAGTACTGATATGTGCCAGGCCGACTTTTGTTGCATTCTGCGCACTTTTGTTTCCACAATCTCAGCGGCACCGGCACTTGTTGAACGGACAATCATTGCGGCGTAGCTGTGGAGGAAAAGCCACCGTCGAATGATGACCAAGCGAA